GTAGTTATATTTTTTGGCCTTTGCTCTACTGGGAAATAAAGGTGAAAACAATATCACTAGTTACATTTCTTACTCGCTTATCATTCTTGATTTTGTGGTTTTATGACATCACTGTGATTCACAAAAACCCACTCATGAGAACAGAGGATTAGACTTAATGTAATGTTATCTTTTATCAAGTTAATTTTAGCCATTTTTGTGGAAATAAATGATGTGTTATCTGATTTCGTTACAGTTCAGTCAGTTAATTTATTATCGTGCGTTAATTGTGCGGAATCGTTGGTGTAACGTGATCGTTCGTGTAAGTTGTCAACAATAAAGTTGCAGCCACTGTACTTTCAAGCAAGATTTGTGATAAGTTTCATCTTTTTTGACCCTGTGCCTCTTGTGAAGAAGATTTTAAAATGACCCCACCCAATTTTTCCTTTTTCTTATTTTTCTCCCCTTGGAGAAACCATTAAGGTGTGGCCCTTTTATATAAATATATAATAATTATATATATATAAACTTAAATCCCCTTTACCCAAGGATACTCTGTGACAAGTTTGGTTGAAATTGGCCCAGCGGTTCTGGAGAAGAAGATGAAAATGTAACTAGAAATATGTCCATAGGACATGAATGCCCTGCCAAGGGTATATTAGTAATGCAACATGAAAATTTGTATTAGTGTATGAGATTTGATAAGAATATCTTGGATAGTTTCTTTAAAATTGATATCTAAAAAGTTGGATATAGATGATCAGTTCTCACCAAATTATGTTTACGTGCATAAGCTTACACGTCAAATACATCTTAAATGGTTTCTTTAAAACTAAGCAAAATGCAAATTTAAGAAAAGTGAGGTCAAGGTCACAGGAAAGTTCAAGGTCAAAAATTTTTTATGCAGTTAAATAGTACTCATAAATATGTATCAGCATATTAAGTTTGATAAAAATATTTTCAATGGACTGAGCTAAACACTAATTTAAAATAAATGAAGTTAAGGTCATATATGACAAAACAAAGGTAAAAAATTGTTGATACAGTTGAAAAGCTTACATCAGAATGTATTATGTATGAAGTTTGATAAAAATATTATGAATGGTTTATTATGCCCCGCCATGAATATAGCCAGGGCATATAGTGTTTGTCATTTCCGTCTTCCGTCCTTCTGTCCTTCCATCTGTCCTTCTGTCACACTTTGCATTTAGCTCTGTTCAAAGCTCAGTTTCAAAGAAACTATCCAAGATATTTTTATCAAACTTCATACGCCGATAGATATTGATGAGAGCTATGCAACTGCATCAACTTTTTTTGACCTTGACCTTTCCTTTGACCTTGACCTCACTTTTCTTAAATTAGTGTTTAGCTCAGTTTTAAAGATACCATTCAAGATAGTTTTATCAAACTTCAAATGCTGATACATACTGATGAGAACTATTCAACTGCATCAACATGTTTTGACCTTGACCTTTCCTTTGACCTTGACCTCACTTTTCTGAAATTAGTGTTTAGCTCAGTTTTAAAGATACCATTCAAGATAGTGTAATCAAACTTCATATGTTGATACATACTGATGTAAGCTATTCAACTGCATCAACATTTTTTGACCTTGACCTTTCTTTTGACCTTGACCTTATTTTTCTTAAACTACTGTTTAGCTCAGTTTTAAAGATACCATTCAAGATAGTGTTATCAAACATCAAATGCTGATACATACTGATGAGAACTATTCAACTGCATCAACATGTTTTGACCTTGACCTTTCCTTTGACCTTGACCTCACTTTTCTTAAATTACTGTCAAAATTCATATGCTGATACATACTGATGAGAGCTATTCAACTGCATCAATATTTTTTCACCTTGACCTTTCCTTTGACCTCACTTTTCTCAATTTGTGTTAAAATATTGCATTACTAATATACCCTCGGCGGGGCATTCATGTCCTATGGACATATTTCTAGTTTGGATTAAAAAAAAAAAAACAGACAAGCGAAATGCTTGTATAACAAAAAACATTCCGCTAAAAACTTACAAAACAAAATTTACATGTTTCTTAACGCACGATCACGCACGATTAAAAGCGCAAACGATTGAGTCTGATACACGCATGATCTCGCACGTTACATGAACGATTCTACACGATTGGTTTGTCAACAATAACGTTGCAGCCACTGTATACACTATGACCGAAATACTGATGCGTTGAGTGACAATTCTATTGAATCTGACTGAAACTCAATTGAATCTGACTGACATACTATAATTATGAAATCCAACAAACAATCTGATAGAGTATAAGAAATGTTTCAGTCAACCAAAGTGTCAAACAATGAGAATGATCAAAATACAAATACAAAATAATAAAATTATGATTGATAAAACATGCAAACACACAATGAAATTTTTAGAAAGAAACACTAGCTTGTTTGTAGAATTCAAGCCCCGTTTCAAGGGGAAGTAATCAAGAAAAGGCAAAAATATAATACAGGTGACTCTCGAACTCTCGAAGTTCAAGGGACCATAAGAAAAGTTCGATAGATCAGGGGGTTCGAGAGATAGAAAGTGAATAAAATCCGGAATTTTCAGTTCCGATCGTCATTGCTCTACTATTATACATACCGGAAGTATATGTTGATAATGTCACCTTTTCATTCGTATTTTACAGGTAATTCACTTGATTTCAACTTGATTTCAACAGCAGTGATTGTGTTAAATAAAATGATTAATTTAAGTTTCAATATTTATTTGTTCTCATTTCATGATTACATGAAACCTGAATAGCAATTAGCTAACCCCCGGGCGGGCTTGATCTGTCCTTCACAAGATTGCTCGTAATCGGTATACAGTTCTTGAGATAGGATTTCTTGTGCAATGTTTGCAAAACTGGGATTGTGTAGAATCTAGTAATATTAAAATCATAATCTATGGAAAATTACTGACACGTCCCTAAATTATATTCTCAAAATTATCGTCTCGTCCAATCAAAATAAGTTGTGAAGCGATTTGTTTATAATTTACCAATTAACCAATTAATTATATCTATACTCGGACGACTCAGAGGTGCAGTATCATCTATGTAAACACCCAATTAACACGTCCATCCCAGCCCCAGGCGTTTACTGTTATCCAGATAAGTCCAAGCTGAATTAATTTTACGCTTGATTGACATGTATACATGCGCAATCAAAACTTCCAGAGATAGAGAGTAAAAAACAATGAAATATGTGTAACGGGACCAAGGTCTTGGTTCGAGAGATAGAGAACTTCGAGAGATCGGGAGTTCGAGAGATCAGGAGTAAATTTGCTTAGTTATGTAGAGGAAAAAAACGGGACCGGAGGTTCACTTCGAGAGATCGGAGTTTGAGCCATCGAAAGTCACCTGTACGGTCATTAAAAACTCTTCCTTTGAAGAACCACTGTACTAGTAAAGACAAAACTTGAATGGAAGTTACCTAAGGTAGTGTAGATTCTAAGTGGTTCAAATCTTGGCCCCAGGTGTAGGGTGGGGCCACAATAGTGGATCAAATTTTACATTGAAATATATAGGAAAAATATTTTAAAATCTGTTAAAAAAATAACTGGATCAGAAAAGATTAAACTTAAATAAAAACTTGAGGTAGTAATGATGTTAAATTGTTCAAATCATGCCCTTTGAGTGTAGGGTGAGGCCACAATAGGGGTTCACTTTTTTTTACATTGAAATACATAGGGGAAATCTTTTAAAAGCTTCTTCTAAAGAAGCACAGGATCAGAAAAGATGAAACTTAATATGTGAAAGCTTGCAGATGTAGTGTAGATTCTTAATTATTCAAATAATGTCCCCTGGGGGTAGGGTTGGGCCACATTAGGGGATCACTCTTTTATTCTTTTACTCTTTTACATTGATACATTGAAATACTTCAGGAAAATCTTTAAAAAATAAAACTTATTCGCTTTATATTGTTCAATGAATTTGTTATACAAATATATTAACGAATTACTGATATAGCAAAGGAAATATGCAGGTCCCCAGAACTTGCTGAATTTTACTGCATATATAAATAAATCTTTAAAAATCATCTTAAGAAGCACTGCTTCAGGAAAGATGAAATTTAGAAGAAGTCTTCCTGAAATAGTACAGATTGTAAATTGTTTAGATCATGGTCCCCAGGGGTTTCATGGGCCACATAGGGAATCAAAGTTTTACATAGGATTGTATAGGGAAAAATCTTTGAAACTCCTCTAGTTCTCAAGAAGAGCAATGCCATGATGAATTATATGAAAGTGGAAGCTGTGCCTTGGCTGGCATAGATTCATATTCTGTTGAAATCTTGAACCCCAGGGGTAGGGTGGAACCACAAAAGATATATACATAGTTTACATAGGAATTTAAAAGAAAAGATTTAAAGCCTTTTTTCGCAAGAAATGCAAAGCAACGATTAGTCATATTTATATGAGGGCATCCTCTGGTAGTGTAGAATCATTTTGTTCAAATCATGGCCCTAGTGTATAGAGGGGGAAACAAAAAGTGATCAAAATCTTATGAAGGAATACATGTATACATACATTTATTGGGGAAAAATCTGATGTAAAACAGCAGGGCCAAAAAAATTAGTTGAGTGTTGTGGCTCATGAACCTCTTCTTTTGGTTTACCTGAGCCATTTAAGTCTTTTAAAAATCTTCTCAAGAACAGTAGAGCCATGTTCAGTCATATCGATTTGGAATCATGTTCAGTCAGTGAAGATCGAAGTTTGTTCTAATTATAATCCCAGGTTGTAGGATGGGGCAAAATTGGGGATCAAAGTTTAAACAGGAATACATAGGATAAATCTTCATATAAGTCTTCTTCTCAAGAACAGCAAATCCATGACTAGTTATAGTCATATGGAAGCATCCTGCCCAAATTTTCTCCCTCACCAGTTGGTGCTTTAAAAGAAGTCATTGTGATCACTAATATTTTAGTACTTTAAATGGTCTTTTCAAGTTGTGTGTTCTGTTGAATTTTTTTCAGCATTGATGGTACATTTTCCACAAGGATGGGGAGGTATGTGAATGATGCTCCAAGTGGTGACCCTGAAAACAATACAGAAATGTTGCAAATATATGTGGATGATCGTCATCACTTGGTTCTCTTTGCAAAACGATATATATATGCAGGAGAAGAAATCAGATATGATTATGGTGTTAAAGGCTTACCTTGGAGATGTAAAAAGGTAAGTCTTTGTTAAGTTAAAAGCAAAATATTACAGGTATGTAATAGGTGCCTGCATATAATCATTACCTGCTAATATAATATAAGTACAGTTTAGAATACAATAGGTATGTCGAGGTGACTTGGAAGTCTCAGATGAGATTATGTGATAGTATGATGCCCTGCATGTACCTGGACCAAACTTGCATGGATGATTTATCTAGAGACACTTCCAGACTTGTTTAAGATGCTGGATCTAACCTATGTTTTCCAGATGAGTGGACTTAAGCTTATTTTAACCAAATTAGCATGGAATGTGTATCTAGGGATGGATACTTCTAGATTTGCTCCAGATTCTGTGTCTGTCCTACAGTTTCCAAATGAGAAACCAGTGTAATATTTTAGGAGTAGCTCTATAATTATATGGTCTGTTTTGATTATACTTGCATGAATGATGACCTAGGATGGATGCTACAAGACTTGTTTTGGATGTTGGAACTGATGTACATTTCTGAATGAGTGAACAGGTTAATGTTTTTGGAGCAGGTCTATTTCCAAGTGACTATAAGTCCTAATGAAATCAGACTTGCATGGATATTATTTATCTTGGAATTCACACTAAGTAGTAAAAAAAATATTGGGTGAGATTTGCCTTATTTATTTTCAACAAAGATAACATTCATCGAGATGAGCTTCGTTATCTTTGATTAGGTATGTTTTTATATGCCCATCTTAAGACGGGATGTATTTTGTTATGGCGTTCATGTCTGTCCATCTGTCCTTCTGTCTGTCTGTTAGCTTTTTTGTGTGGGGCTCATAACTTCAATATTATTAAGCCTAGAATTATCAAACTTTGTCAGCTGATACATCTTGGTAGTAGGTGTGTCACACATTAAAAGTAGGTCACTCTGGCCTTTAATTAAGATGCTATGGTCAAATCTGGGAAAATCTGGTCCAGGTTTTAACTAGAAAATTATAAAACCTAATATCATTGAACTCTGCCAATTAATGCAATTTAGGTAGGAGGTGTGTCACATTGTACTTAAAGGTCACTGTGACCTTTTATTTTAGTGAAATTAAAAAAAAACTATGTTTTTACTTTTAAATTACACAATCCCAAAAGATAAAGTATTGCAGTATCATTATTAAAAAATGTTAAATCAAGAAAATATACTTTTCTTTCCATTATATTCTTTACAGCATTCTAAAACAAGTTTAAAGTTATAAGAGAAATTCCACTTCTCCCATGGGTGTAATTATCAAGCACTGGTCCTGAAAAATTTTGATAACAGAAAATTGCATGTCAAATTAGAAATAAATTGATGGGTTTCGTGTGAGGAGATAAGTGGTAGAGCATATCTGATCAAGCAGATGTTATCTGTATCTTGGGAATTGGGCAAGGGAATCGACCTCTTAATTGCTTTTATTTTTTTTAATTGTTAAATTTAATACTTAAATTTCAAAATAAAGTTGGTGTAAAGTAATTTAAAGTAATTTGATATTGTATAATATAATTAAAACATTTGATATTATTTTGTATCTTTACAACAAATTGCAGAGTGTCATGTCTCACTAAGATGACAATTTTATAGACTAAAGAATAAACAAATTTTTTTTTGATGTTTTATTAGGTTGTAGCATTGTTAATCAATCATAAAATATACAATAAGCAAAGCTGCAGATGGGCATTTTCTAAGCTTGGACAAAACCAGTTGAGAAATATACGATGCATAATTATAATTAATACCTACACCACAGGAGACATTTCAACATTATAAAGAATGGAAAAAAATCATTGAAATTTATGTATCAAGGTTGACATGATTTTCTTGCACTCTAAACTGTTTATGATAATTGAACAATATTTGACAGATGTATCATGCTGTGATGGGGCACTTTATTACTTTGATGAACAATGTTGCCATGATTACTAAAAATAGAAATTTCTGTAAAATTCTTGCAAAAGGCTACTCCTCCTACAGTTTTAGTCTGATTGCAATAAATCTTGCCACAAAAATAAATGAAAGATCAATATTCTATATATTGCTGTTGGATAGTTTCAAGTCCAAGTGCAACTTTCTAAAGTACAAACCGTAGAACTACAGTCTCTTCAGGTTTGACCAGAAGTGACTTCGATCTGTTTTTTTAAAATTGATGAACAGTGTTGCCATGGTTACTAAAAATTGTAATATCTGTAAAATTTATGCAAAATGCTACTCCTCCTATAGTTTTAGTCTGATTGCAATAAATCTTGCCACAAAAAAAACTAAACCAAGAAACATTATTCTGTTGTTGAATTTCGGTATTTTGAACACAGATACATCAGTACCTTGAATACCATGGATATGTTCGAAGTGATTTGGAAGTCCCAACCACTTATACTATAACTTTTTCACCCCTTGAATATCTCAAATACTCTGATATCTCAAAGTTTTTTCTCGGTCCAATCAAAATTAGAGATAATAAGTTTGACAGTATTTTATGCTGTTGCATAGTGTCAAATCCAACATGTTCAAGTGTGACTTTTCTTTCATTTTAAGTACAAACCAGTAGAGTTATGGTCTCATCAGAGATTTTTGGTTGGTATGTCTCTTGATATTGATGAATCACAGATCAAATTTGAGTTTCATGATGATCATGATTGAACCTATGGCTCAGGTGAGCTTTTTTGATCAAAATTTGTCCATTGTCGTTAACTTTTTACACTCATTTTTCTTTGATCGGAATCACTTCTGGTCAAACCAGAAGTAGTTTTAAAAGGCTTATTTTTAAAGGTATCGCAATGGAATTGAATGACTCAAGTCCTTGGCCGGAGATGTCTGCCTTAAATTTATTTTTCGTCAATAAAAGTTTTTGTTAGAAATATCTTTTTCTTATAAAAAACTAATTCACATTTTCTTTGCTAAATTGGACTGAAGACCTGCTTGTTACTCTGGCAACAAGCTTTGCTCTAGTTTAAATGCTCTTATTTTTATAGTTTATATTTTACTTATTTAGGTGCCAAAAGAACATATAAAACCAACAAAAAAGATAACTAAAGCTGAGCAGGTAAGAATAACTTAAAGCTTATTAATGTCCAAAATCAAACAAATTTGAATGAAGCATTTCTCCTATCTTTTTCTCTTCTGTCTTGTTAGATGATTACTTTTGGATTATTTAGAAATTTTGGGAACAGGATCATTGCACTCAGTGTCCATCCTTTGTATGTAATGAGCTCTAGATATAAATATTTTCTCCATCATGAGAGAAGTTGATTCCTCACTCATAACACTATCTGTATCACGTTGTGCATTCCTTTTAACTCCTTCATACATGAAATACTATAAAAAGTAAATTGTAAAATATATCGCGTAATTCAAATGGAAAATTATACCAGATATCATTTTAAAGATACAGTATTATATTTCAGCTGAAAAAAAGTACAAAAAATCCAGACATTCTGGAGATTGAGTCCAGGTTGCCCACCTGAAAATTGAACATGCATTACGCTAGCGGGACCATTTCTTATAAGAATCTCTATTATCCCTAGTAAAAAATCAATAGAAAATATTGAGAGACAAAAAAAGTTGAAAATTCAACTTTTCTTAATTCGCTGGAACTATTGATGACACACAAAAGGCAATTCCGCAAATCTAGAAGTCATGTTCTATCATCTCTAATAAGTCTCGAGTTCATATTTTTAGCCGTTCTATAGATCTGTTGGAGAAAAAATTCCATTTAAAAATCAGGAAATTGCCTGGAACATGGAACTGGAAATGAATTTTTTCAAAATTCTTTCAAATGTAACAATGGCTTTTCAAAACGCATTATCCCTGAAAATTCAATGAAAAACTACTGAATATTTCTCGAGATATCACGTGCACAATATTTGTCTAAAAAATATATTACTAATAATTATAATATATATTTTCAATTTTCAAACAAATTATATATTATGCATTCTGAAAAGAGCCTCTATTAACCCTACCAAAATCATCAAAACATATTGAAAAATCAAATTTGAATGAAGCATTTCTCCTATCTTTTTCTTTTCTGTCTTGTTAGATAATTACTTTTGGATTATTTACAAATTCTTGGAACAGGATCATTGCACTCAGTGTCCATCCTTTGTATGTCATGAGCTCTGGATAAAAATATTTTCAATACACTTACTGGTAAATGCACCAATTACACACCATGCATTATGGGTGACATCACAATACCCCATATCAACGATGGTCCAAAAATACCTATCATGTATCAGACAAGTGTGCAAAAATCAGTTTGAAACTGGAAATAATGTTCTGAATTTTTTTGAAATTTAGTTACTTTAATTTTACTGAAATATTCATGTTAAACAATTCATGCAATAAATTGGCTCAGTTTTAAGGGGAAGAAGGACCTTGGGCTGAAAAAAAAAATTGTCATTTAATTTTTAGCTCACCTGAGCCAAAGGCTCAAGTGAGCTTTTCTGATCAAAATTTGTCTGTTGTCTGTCGTCGTCGTCGTTGTTGTAAACTTTTCACATTTTCATCTTCTTCTCAAGAACCACAGGGCAAATTTCAACCAAACTTGCCACAAAGCATTCTTGGGTAAAGGGGATTCAAGTTTGTTTAAATGAAAGCCCACACCCTCTTTCAAGGGGAGATAATTAAGAATTAGTGAAAATTAAGTGATATCTTTTAAAAATCTACTTCTCAAGAACCACTGGGCTGTAAAATTTGAAACTTATGTGAGACCTTCATTACATAATGTAGATTCAAGTTTGTTCAAATCATGACCCCCTGGGGTAGGGTGGAGCCACAATGGGGGATCAAAGTTTTACATAGGAATATATAGGAATAAATCTTTAAAAATCTTCTCCTCAAGAACAACTAAGCCACGAATATAGGAATATGTAGAAAAAATCTTTAAAAATCTTTTTCTCAAGAACAACAAAGCCACAATTAGGCATATTGATATGGAATCATCCTCAGGTAGTGCAGATTCAAGTTTGTTCAAATCATGACCCCTAGGGGTAGGGTGGGGCCACAATGAGGAATCAAAGTTTTACATAGGAATATATAGAACAAAATCTTTAAAAATCTTCTTCTCAAGAACAACAAGGCCACAATTAGTCATATTGATATGGAATCATCCTCAGGTAGTGTAGATTCAAGTTTGTTCAAATCATGACCCCCAGGGGTAGGGTGGGGACACAATGGGGGATCAAAGTTTTACATAGAAAAATGTAGGAAAAATCTTGAAATTGTTTTTCTTAAAAAATAACAAAGCCACAATTAGTCATAATTTATATGGAAGCATCCTCAGGTAGTGTAGATTCAAGTTTGTACAAAATCATGACCCCCGGGCAGGGGGGGGGGGCACAATTGGGGATCAAAATTTTACATAGGAATTTATAGAAAAAAATCTTTAAAAATCTTTCTCTCAAGAACAACAAAGCCACAATTAGTCATATTGATATGGAACCATTCTCAGGTAGTGTAGATTAAATTTTGTTCAAATCATGACCCCCAGGGGTAGGGTGGGGCCTAAATGGGGGATCAAAATTTTACATAGAAATATGTAGAAAAAAATCTTGAAAAATCTTCTTCTCATGAACAAAGTCACAATTAGTCATATTGATGTGGATTCATCCTCAGGTAGTTAAGATTCAAGTTTGTATCAAATCATGACCCCTCGGGGTAGGGTGGGGCCACAATGAGGAATCAAAGTTTTACATAGGAATATACAGAAAAAAAGAACTTGAAAAATCTTCTTCTCAAGAACAGCAAAGCCTTGTTAACTCATATTGATATGGAAGCATTCTCAGATAGTGTAAATTTAACTTTGTTCAAATCATGACCCCCAGGGTTAGGATGATGCCACAATTGAGGATCAAAGTTTTACATAGGAATACATAGGAAAAAACTTCAAAAATCTTCTTCTCAAGAACAGCAAAGTCATGTTTTGTCATACTGATATGGAAGCATCCTCAGGTAGTGTAGATTCAAGTTTGTTCAAATCATGACCCCTGGGGGTAGGGTGGGGCCACAATGGGGGATCATAGTTTTACATAAGAATATATAGGGGGAAAAAACTTGAAAAATCTTCTTCTCAGGAACAGCAAAGCCATGTTTTGTCATATTGATATGGAAGCTTCCTCAGGTAGTGTAGATTCAAGTTTGTTCAAATCATGACCCCTGGGGGTAGGGTTGGGCCACAATGGGGGATCATAGTTTTACATAGGAATATATAGGGAAAAAAAACTTGAAAAATCTTCTTCTCAGGAACAGCAAAGCCATGTTTTGTCATATTGATATGGAAGCATCTTCAGATAGTGTAGATTCAAGTTTGTTCAACTCATAAACCCCAGGGGTAGGGTGGGGCCACAATGTGGGATCAAATTTTTACATAGGAATATATAGGAAAAAATCTTTTCATCAGCAGAAAAGCCATGTTTAGTCATATTGATATGGAAGCATCCTCAGGTAGTGTAGATTCAAGTTTGTTCAAATGATGGGGGGGGGGGGGGGGTTAGGGAGGGTCCACAATGGGGGATCAAATTTTTAACAAGGGAATATATAGGAAAAAAATCTTTAAAAATCTTCTGCTCAAGAACAGTAAAGCCATTTGTTATATTGATATGGAAGCATCCTCAGGTAGTTCAAAATCCAACTCCCCTCCCCTTTAAACTTTTCAATACTGAAGTGATTTGTGCTTTTTCCTAGCCAATGTGCTCAGGTGAGCAATGTGGCTCATGGGCCTCTTGTTTTCAAATTTTGTATATCCCTTATTTAGTTTGTCCAACATATTTTAAAGCAGTTATATCATTAGGTTTTTTACATTATTGTAGAGATATTTATTAACAAGTACCATGCCCTACCTTGTCTAAGTAGCATTTTGATTCTCCATGTTTAGGGATCCATCATTCTGCACATAATTAGAATTTTTAATTGGAGATAAAAAATGTTAGTGGACATGTATCTCTTAAAATATTTCAGCATACGAATAAGTTTAAAATTCAAAAAAGCAGGGTTTTTTTTAATTACGCTGCATCTGGATAGGGAAGATTATGTACTTTTTCAGACAACTTAAATAACAAAAAACTTAATTTCCAAAAAAACCTATCATTCAATATTTGAAAATTTACATTGAAACTGAAGTCCTTCATTTTGTTGATTAACTGTAAAAATATCAAAAGGTGAAGCTTACTTCAGTATTGCACAGGACTTAGTCAAACAAGACATAAGCACAGTAAAAACCTGTCATGTTTACTTTTACTGGAAAAACCAACTATGGCATCACGCATAAGCTAAATAAGTGAAAGAAGATATATCTACGAAGGATTTTTGTCAAAAACCATGTAAAAATAATTTATGTAAAAATAATTTTTGTGCTTCCTAATTTACAAATACCCTACCAAGTGCTGATTATGATCCATTTTTAGGTCACCTGAGTCACTCAGGTGACCCATTGCTATCCGTTTTTGTCTGTCTTTGTCAGTCATGCGTTAACTTTTGAACATTTTCAACTACTTCTCTAGAACCACTCAACCAATTTCAACCAATTTTGGCATATAGTATTTTTGGGTAAAGGGGAACAAAAATTTTGAATTTCATGGTCCCTGCCCCCCTTGGGCCCCAGGGGTGGGGCTAAAATCACCAAAATTGATGCAATTTTTAAAAATCTTCTTCTTTACTCCTGGACATCAAGCAGTCAAACTGTTGGCATGATTGTAAAAAGCATTGAGCCCTTTGCCTAAATTGTGAAATTCATGGCCCCAGGGTCAGGGGTTCTGGTGCTAGGGTGGGGCTATATAGATCATATAGTGAAAGTGCATTATTTCTTTGAAAATCTTCTCTTCTCCTGGGTATTATTTAAACAAACTAAGTGCATGGTTATGACAAGCAATGATGCCTTCTCCAAAATTGTGAAATTCATGGCCCCTGGGTCAGAGGTTCTGGTGTTAGGCTCTATTGATTATATAGTGAAAATGATTTAATTCTTTGAAAATCTTCTCCTCTGCTACTGGATATTATATAAACAAACTAAGTGCATGGTCATGATAAGCATTGATGCCTTTTCCAAAATTGTGAATTTCATGGCCCCTGGGACAGGGGTTTTGGTGTTTGGGAGGGGCTCTATTGATTATATAGTGAAAATGCATTAATTCTTTGAAAATCTTCTTCTCTGCTCCTGGGTATTATTTAAACAAACTAAGTGCATGGTTATGATGCACAAAGGGGGGGGGGGGGGAATATTTAGTAATAAAATGAAAATGTGTTAATTCTTTGAAAATCTTCAACTAAGTGCATAGTAATGATGATGAGGGAACCTCTACCAAATTTATGAATTTTACAGCCCTGGGACATGGGTTTAAGTGTAAGTTTAGGGGTGTGTTGAATCTGTAGTGAACATGCATTATTTCTTTGAAAATCTTCTCTGCTCCTTGGCATATCGAAGGCAAACATAATAAAAGTTTTAATAAGCAAGGATATTTTTACCAGATTTTTTAACATCAGGACCATTTGGTCAAGTGTTCTGGTCTTAGTCAGGGCTCTTTTAATTTGTATTCAATGTGAGAAGTTATTCCCTTTTGCCATTTACTTTTGATAATTAGTCGCTGTAAATAATGTATTTGAAAGTTAATAGAATAAGAGAATTATGCAAAAAACATTATTGAATGATACAAAAAGTACTTTCATGGTTTTAATGATCAGATAGACTTGTAAATAAACAAGAGACCCAAGGGCCTTAACGGTCACCTGAGTACAATACAACAATTTAGAGGATCCATAAACTGAAAAATGAAGCTTTGTTGCCCAAAAGCAAGAAAAATAGTATGATTAGCATCAACAAAATAATTGGTCTAGTATCTATCTGCCTATCTGACTTTCCAAGTCATTAAATCTATGAAAGTACATTTTCATTATACAATAAATTATCTTGCATAATTCTCTTATTCTATTAAGCTTTCAAATACATTATTTACATTGATTAATTATCAAAGGTGAATGGCAAAGGGGAATAACTTTGCTCAGCAGAATACAAGTTAATAGAGCCCTGGCCAGGACTAGAACACTTGACTAAATGGTCCAGGTGTTCAAAAATCTGGTAAAAATACCCTTGCATATTAAAACTTTTACTCTGTTTGCCTTGAACATCCCCAGAAGCATAGATGATTTTCAAAGAAATGCATTTTCACCATAAAATTAAATAAATAAAGCCCCATCCTTACCCAGAACATCTGACCCATTGGCCACGAACTCACAATTCTGGAAGAAGCACCCTTTCTCATTATAACTATACACTTGTTTCTTTACTTTATAACCAGTAGTAGAAAAAAATATTTTGAAAGAAATTATGCATTTTCACTATATATAATCAATAGAGCTCTTTCCCCCTCACCAGAACCCCTGACCCAAAGGCCATGAGGCATTCTTCCTTATCATAACCATGCACTTCCTTTGTTTGAAAAATACCCAGGCGCACATAAGATTTTGAAAGAATTCATGCCAATTCCCTATCTAATCAATAAAGCCCCGCCCTAACACCAGAACCCCTTACCCAGAGGCCATTAAATTCATAATTTCTGAGGCAGCCATGCTCATCATAACTATGTACTTAGTTTATTTAATATCCAGGAGCAGAGAAGATTTTCAAAGAATTAATGCAATTTTACTATATAATCAATGGAGCCCATCCCTAACACCAGAACCCCTGACCCAAGGGCCATGAAACAATTTCTGAAAAGGCAGTCATGCTCACCATAACTATGTTCTTAGTTAGTTTATTTAATACCCAGGAGCAGAGAAAAAGATTTTCAAAGAATTAATGCAATTCTACTATATAATCAATAGAGCCCTGCCCTAACACCAGAACCCCTGACCCAAGGGCCATGAAATTCAAAATTTTGGAAGAGGCACTCTTGCTCATCATAACTATGTACTAAGTTACTTTATTTAATGCCCAGGAGCAGAGAAGATTTTCAAAGAATTAATGCATTTTAACTATATAATCAATAGAGCCCCACCCTAACACCAGAACCTCTGACCCAGGGGCCATGAAATTCACAATTTTGAAAGAGGCACTCTTATTCTTCATAACTATGTACTTAATACCCAGGAGCAGAGAAAATTATTGCAATTCTACTATATAATCAATAGAGCCCTGCCCTAACACCAGAACCCCTGATCCTGGGGCCATGAAATTCAAAATTTTGAAAGAGGCACTCTAGCTCATCATAACTATATACTAAGTTAGTTTATCTAATACCCAGGAGCAGAGAAGAAGATTTTCAAAGAATTAATGCCTTTTCACTATATAATCAATAGAGCCCCACCCTAACACCAGAATCCCTGACCCTGGGGCCATGAAATTCATAATTTCAGAAGAGGCACTCTTGCTCATCATAAATATGTACTAACTTAGTTCATTTAATATCCAGGAGCAGATTAGAAGATTTTCAAAGAATTAATGCATCTTCACTATATAATCAATAGAGCCCCGCCCTAACACCAGAACCCCTGACCCTGGGGCCATGAAATTCACAATTTTGGAAGAGGCACTCTTGCTCATCATAACTAAGTACTAAATTAGTTCATTTAATAACCAGGAGCAGATAAGAAGATTTTCAAAGAATTAATGCATTTTAACAATATAATCAATAGAGACCCGCCCTAACACCAGAACCCCTGACCTTGGGGCCATGAAATTCACAATTTTGGAAGAGGCACTCTTGCTCATCATAACTATGTACTAAATTAGTTCATTTAATACCCAGGAGCAGATAAGAAGATTTTCAAAGAATTAATGCATTTTAACTAATGTATATAATCAATAAAGCCCTGCCCTAACACCAGAACCCCTGACCCTGGGGCCATGAAATTCACAAGTTTGGAAGAGGCACTCTTGCTCATCATAAATATGTACTAAGTTACTTTATTAAATACCCAGGAGCAGAGAAGAAGATTTTCAAAGAATTAATACATTTTCACTATATACTCAATAGAGCCCTGCCCTAACACCAGAACCCCTGACCCAGGGGCCATGAAATTCACAATTTTGAAAGAGGCACTCTTGCTCATCATAACTATATACTTAGTAAATTTATTTAATACCCAGGAGCAGAGAAGAAGATTTTCAAAGAATTAATGCATTTTCTCTATATAATCAATAGAGCCCCGCCCTAACACCAGAACCCCTGATCCTGGGGCCATGAATTTCACAATTTTGAAAGAGGCACTCTTGTTCTTCATAACTATGTACTTAGTTACTTTATTTAATACCCAGGAGCAGAGAAGAAGATTTTCAAAGAAATAATGCACTTTCCCTATATGATCTATATAGCCCCACCCTAGCACCAGAACCCCTGACCCTGGGGCCATGAATTTCACAATTTTGGTAGAGGACTCAATGCTTATTACAATGATGCCAACAGTTTGACTGCTTGATGTCCAGGAGTAAAGAAGAAGATTTTTAAAGATTGCATTATTTTTGGTGGTTTTAGCCCCACCCCTCAGGCCCCAGGGGGGCAGGGAACATGGAATTCACAATTTTTGTTCCCCTTCACCCATAGGTGCTATATGCCAAATTTGGTTGAAATTGGTTAAGCGGTTTCAGAGAAGAAGCTAAAAATGTTCAAATGTTAACACACGACGCACACCGCACGACGCACGACGCACGCCGACGGACGAGAACGGATAGCAATAGGTCACCTGAGTGACTCAGGTGACCTAAAAATAGATAAAAATGAGACAAAAATAACTTATTGAATGTTCTTGGAAGACCAAGAGAGGCCAATGTGAGAGGTCACAATGTGAGGTTAAAAGAAGTACAGAGGAACTAATAGTTTGTTGATAGTCTGCATGGTGTTAGTGCTAAATGGGGGATAAGTAAGAATTTAATGTATGAGTTGTTACTGAATACTAGACTAATTATTTCATTGATTCTGATCATCCTATTTCTCTTGCTTTTGGGCAACAAAGCTTCATCTATCAGTTTATTTTATACTCTATGGATCCTCTAAATTGTTGTATTATACTCAGGTGACCGTTAAGGCCCTTGGGCCTCTTGTTAAACCTTATGGTCTCCAGGTGTTTCTCGGGCCGGAAAGGGAGGGGGGGGGGCTATATTGATAGTAAAGTGAAAATGTGTTAATTCATTGAAAATCTTGAATGTTTTGTTTAGCTTACAGGTGCTGGTGACACATATTTACTTTAAGATTTGTTTTTGGGTACTAAACTAATTATTTTGTTGATCCCTGATCATCCTACTTTTCTTGCATTATGGCAACATATCCCCATCTTTTAGTTTATAATGTTTTTTTTTTGTATTTCTATGGATCCTTTACATTGTTGTATTATACTCAGGTGATTGTTCAGACACGTTGGCCTGTTGTTAAATATGTACAAATCAAATGTACCCAGACACCATTTTGTATGATTTTGTTTGAAAAAATTGATATGATGCAAGAGGGATGGTAGTACACTCCCTATGTAAATAAATAAATCTTTTTCTTCTTAGTGGACCATTTTTATGACCTGTCATATACATGTGTATAATGCTAGGACATGATGTGTTATTACGACTGTTACATCTACTTTTCTTGACTGTATCATATTTTATGCAATTTTTTAAGGTGAAGGATTGTTCTGTCAGATTGACAAGAATTCCAGTGAAACAGCTGGCTAAACTTGACAGAAAAAGTAAGTTGCATATAAAGAAGAATATAACAAATTTAATAGTTAAAAACCCCAACTAAAGCAGTTCGTCTGATACATGTTAATCATTGTTCATAGTTTTACAAGATTAAACTTGATTATTTCTCAGATGACATATTTGTATCATATTTATTTCAAAGACAAAGTTTTAGTTCCATGATATTTAAATGTAATTTTTCTTTAAACCAATCAAATATAAGTAAAGTAAATTCCCATTTACATATTAGCAACAACCTTCCTTTTCTAAGATTTATTGAATTGGGAGGAGTACATTGAGTTTGGTGAGATATTTGAATTAATAGAATGGATTTTATATGATTAAGGTTGAATAATCTGAAAGTTGAGACATATTAAAAGTAAAGTGTTTGACCTTGATGGCTTGATTAAAACATGTTGTAGACAAAAACAGAGGCGATTTAGTTGACCTGAAAAATTCAAGATGGTGACCATGACATACCTTGTTGTTATTATAGTATCAGGATATTATTAATAATGAAGAGAAAAGGTTTAGTTACTGACATCATATTGGTCATATACCCTTTCCAGGTGATCTACTGACTAGATATAAATTTCAAATACTGTTTTCACTTGAAATAGCATGATCAAACGTTTTGTCTGTTATCTGTCCTTGTCATTGTTGTAAACTTTGCACAGTTTGATCTTCTCCAGAACCCCTGGGCCATTTTCAACCAAACTTGCCACAAAGCATCCTTGGGTGAAGGGGATTAATAGGGCTGTGCAATAATATTGATATTCCAGTATATTTGGTAACAAAAAATATCGTTTTTTTTTCCAGTACCGGTATATTAGTAAAATACTTTGGCTTGGATTTTCTAAAGTAAAATATGAAATTTAACATGCCAGAAATGCTTTCAAGCATGCCAAACAATAAGGTTGCTGTTGTATGTTTGTATTTTGTTGCAAAACTGAAGTGAAATCGGCAAGAACTTTTTTTGCTACAGTTTTAAATATTGCAATATATTGCAATACAAAATTCCCAGCCAATACCCAGCCCTGGGGATTTAAGTTCATTCACAGGAAGTGCCACGTCCTCTTTCAAGGGGAGATATTTAAGAATTCATGAAAATTTGGTGGTATCTTGTAAATATCTTCTTCTCAAGAACCACTGGGCAAGAAAAGATGAAAATTATGTGAAAGCTTCATTACATACTCAATTCCAATTTGTTTATGTCATAACTCCGGCGGGAAGTGTGGGGCCACAAGAGGGGTCGAAGTTTTACATAGAAATATATATTAGGAAATGTCTTTAAAAATCTTCTCAAGAATAGCAAAGCCATTATTAGTCATATTATTATAGAAGTATCCTCAGATAGTGTAGATTCAAGTTTGTTCCAGTCAAGACTCCTAGGGGGTAGGATGGAGCCACAACACGGGTCAACGTTTCCCATAAAGGAATAAATAGGAAATGTCTTTATATAAAATCTTCTTCTCAAGAACAGCTTAGCCATTATTAGTCATATTAATATAGATCTGAAGTATCCTCAGGTAGTGTAGATTCAAGTTTGTTAAAATCATGACTCCTGAAGGTTGGGCGCAGACACAACAGGGGGCCAAGAGGTAGGGTGGGGCCACAATGAGTGATCAGAGTTTTGAATAGGAATACATAGGAAAGAATCTTTAAAATTCTTTTGCTCAAGAACATCAAAATTAGTAATATTAATATAGAAGTATTCTGAGGTAGTTAAAAAAATTCAAGCGTCCCCCCCCCCTCCCTGGTAGACTTTTCAATGCTGAACTGTTATGCTTTTTCCTATGCAATGTGCTCAGGTGAGCAATGGTCCATGGGCCTCTTGTCATATTTATTTTTAGATGAGGCAATTGTTGAGTCTACTGCAAAGCAGGCAAGAGTATATGAGCCAGAATTTGCAGGTATATATAGTTCAAAGTTAATTCAAGCTGTATAGTCTGCATAGTCTTTTATATACATCAAAGATTTTTTTTTAGTTGAGTCAGTGTTTGTAGTTGAAATTGGTATTGCTACACCTTTGGAGAAAGCAGTTCAAGACTGTGCAGGTACATGTATTATGTATATTATATTTATATAAGACTGTATATATATATTACTCAATGAATTAAATCTCAGTATATGTCTGAGCTCATTTGAGGTGAAAACTTGAGGAGGCTAAAGTGGTATTTCTGAAGAAATTTTCCTCTTCATTTTTAGCTCACCTCGACGAAGTTGAGATGAGCTTATGCTTTATCGTCGGCATTAGCGTCTGCACCCCAATTAGTTTTCGAAGCAAGTCTATTCCCAAGTAACTATAAGCCTTACCTGGACCAAACTTGCATGTATGATGCATCTAGGGATGGACATTACCATACTTACCTTGATGCTGGATCAGACCTACATTTTCAGATGAGTGACCAGGTTAAAGTTTTTGGAGCAGGCCCATACTTAAGTAGCTATAAACCCTACCTTGACCAAACTTGCATGGATGATGCATCTAGGGATGGACACTACCACACTTGCTTTGGATACTGGATCTGACCTAGATTTTCCAGATGAGTGACCAGGTTAAAGTTTTTGGAGCAGGTCCATTCCCAAGTAACTATTAGCCCTACCTTGACCAAACTTGCATGGATGATGCATCTAGGTATGGACACTACCACACTTGCTTTGCTTTGGATGCTGGGTCTGACCTAGATTTTCCAGATGAGTGACCAGGTTAAAGTTTTTGGAGCAGGTCCATTCACAAATAACTATTAGCCCAATCTTGATCATCTTGCATGGATGATGCATCTAGGGATGGACACTACCAAACTTGTTTTGGATGCTGGATCTGACCTAGATATTCCAGATGAGTGACCAGGTTAAAGCTTTTGGAGCAGGTTCATTCCAAAGTAACTATAAGCCCTACTTGGAGCAAACTTGCATGGTGTTGGTGTTAAAGTTTAAAGTTTTTGGAGCAGATTTTTATTAAAGTTCTTCTATGCCGTATATCAATCAGAAATGCATGAAGGATGCTTCTAGCATGTTTCGTTGTACCAGTCAAGGTTTCAGATGCTGGAATTTCAGTTGAAGAATGACCAGGTTAATGTTTTTGGAGCAGGTTAAAGTTCTTGGAGCAGGTTAAAGTTATTGGAACAGGTCTCATTTTCAAGTAACTATAAGCCCTATATTGACCAAACTTGCTTGGATGATACATCTAAGGATGCACAATACTAGACTTGCTCAGGATTCTGGATCTGACCTACATTTTCCGGTTGAATGACCAGGTTTAAAGCTTTTGGACCAGGTCTCATGTCCAAATAACTTTAAGCCCTATATTGACCGAACTTACATGGATGATACATCTAAGGATGTGCACTACTGGACTTGCTTCGGATGCTGGATCTGACCTACATTTTCCAGTTGAGTGACCAGATTAAAGTTTTTGGAGCAGGTCTCATTTCCAAGTTACTTTAAGTCCTTTGTTGACCAAACTTGCATGGATGATACATCTAAGGATTCACACTACTGGACTTGCTTCTGAATCAAAAATCTTCTCAAGAACCACTGGACCAGGAAAGTGGAAACTTATGTGGAAGCTTCCTTAGATATTGTAGATTCTTAATTTTTGAAATCTTGACCCGCTGGGGGGGGGGGGGGGCTGTAACAGGGAATCAAAGTTTAACATTGAAATATAAAGAACAAGAAATGTTGGTGAAACACTGATGCCCCCATATGGCAATTTATAGCAAAGGTTAAACTTTCTCAAAATGCAAATCAAATATGTTGCTACCCAAAGTAAGGTCTTGTCTTGTGGAATATACCTGTGAAATATGAGAGCCCTAACAGCAACCTTTGAATAGATATGGAAAAGGTTAAAGTTTTTTCAAAAGTATGTCAAACATCAAGGTCAAGGTCAAATGGTCAAAATTAATGGTGCCCAAGGAAAGGCCTTCTCCCAAGAAATACACAGGTGAAATATGAATGCGAAGCACCAATCATTCAAAAGTTTTTCAAAAAAAAGGTCAAATTTGAAGGTCAAGGTCAACCGATTACAATTGTTGATATCCAAAGGAAGTAAATATGTACCCTAGCACCAAAAGTTTTCCAAAAGTAGGTCAAACTCCAAGGTCAGATCAAAAGGTCAAAGTTGTTGGTATCCAAGAAAGGTCTTGTCACAAGGATTATATATGTGAAGTATGAAAGCCCTAGCATAAACAGTTCAAAAGTTATGGCCAAGGTTAAAATTTTTTAAAAAGTAGGTCAAATTACAAGGTCAAGGTGTCAAAGTTGTTTGTATCCAAAGAAAGGTCTGGTCACAAGGATTACATATGTGAAGTATGACAGTCTTATCACCAGCCTTTCATATGTTATGGCCAAGGTTAATGTTTTTCAAAAGGAGGTCAAACTCCAAGGTCAAGATCAAAGGGTCAAAGTTGTTGGTATTCAAAGAAAGGTCTTGTCACAAGGATTACATAAATGAAGTATGAAAGCCCTAGCACTAACCATTCAAAAAATATGGCCAAGATTAAAGTTTTCCAAAGAAAAGGTCAAACTCCAAGGTCAAGGTCAAAGGGTCAAAGTTGTTGGTATCCAAAGGAAGCTCTTGCCATATGAATTACATATGTGAAGTATGACAGTCCTAGCACCAACTGTTCAAAAGTTATGGCCAAGGTTAAAGTTTTTCAAAAGTAGGTCAAACTCCAGGGTCAAGGTAAAAGGGTCAAAGTTGTTGTATCCAAAGAAAGGTCTTGTCACAAGGATTACACATGTGAAGTATGAAAGCCCTAGCACTAATTGTTCGAAAGTTATGGTCAAGGTTAAAGTTGGATAAAATTTTGCAAAACTGGGTCAAAATCCAAGGTCAAGGCCAAAAAGGTCAAATATGATGGTACTTAAAGAAAGGTCTTGTCACAAGGAATACACATGTAAAATATGAAAGCCATAGCTCCAACCAATCAAAAGTTATGAGCAAGGTTAAAGTTTTTGTGGACAAACAGACAGACAGACAGATGGACAGGGCAAAAACTATATACCCCAGAGTCTTTGATATGGGGGCATAAAAAAAATCTTTAAAATATTTTTTTCAAAAACCACAGGACCAGCAAAACTTAGACTTATTTGGAAGCATCTTGTGGTAGTTTTGATTCTAAATTGTTCAGATCATGGCCCCCGGGGATAGGGTTGGGCATAGGGAATCAAAGTTTTACATTGAAATATATAGGAAAGATGTTTAAAAAACTTCTTCTCAAGAACCATTGGATCAGGAAAGCTGAAACTTATGTGGAAGCTTATTGAGTTAGTATAGATTGTAAATGTTCAAATCGTGACCCCCGTGGGGCCATAATAAGAATTAAATAGTGAAAAATCCTTGAAACTCCTCAAATCCATGATGAATCATATTAATGTTGAAGCATTTTCTGATAGCATCGATCCATTTTTATTTAAATAGTGGCCCCAGTGTATAGGATGGGGCCACAAAAGGTGATAAAATATACAGAGGAATAAATGTATGTTTGGGAAAAAAGCTGATGCAGAACAGCTAGGCCAAAGTGATTCTGGTGAGCGTTGTGACCTATGGGTCTCTTGTTATTTAAAAAAAAATTGCTTGTCCCAATAGACCTCAGTGCAATCTTTATTTAATTATTACTTGATAGATAATTACTTTTTTAAAAAATTTTCTTGGTAAATCTTGTTTGACTCTGAAAAGTGTTTAACTAATATAAGAATATTGTATGATTTATAGATATTTAAGGAGAGATAATTTGATCCTAATTGGGATGGAATATCTAAACATAAAAATATGTTGTTGTTTTTTAAAATTAAGCCTGGTTTGATTTCAAATGATGTTGGAAAAAATAAAGTTATTTAGAGCTAACAAGATTTATATTTAATTTTTTCTATGTGTTTCAAAGTTGAATCAGTGATTGAAATGGATGAAGAACCAGTTTTAACAGAAACAGCTCAAGAAACAATTGGTAATGATGGATAACATGAAAATTTATGTTTGTATATTGACCCAATTTCTATTTTTGGAATTTTCCTTGTTTTGCATTGTCATAAAGGGAAAGCAGATTAAGAGTCATAATTTTCTTTTGTTTTGAAGTTGGTGTTGAAATAAATGAAGGAGCACTTTTAACAGAAGCAGTCCAAGAATCATCAGGTAAATATCTGATCTGTTTTTAAATTTGTTTAAGTAATGCTTCCATTGTCTAGGGTTTGGTCAATATATGGGGTCAAAATACTTTCAAATTGCTTTTGTTATTGCTGCTACTCCTCCTTTGTTATAATAATAATAATAATAATAATAATACTTTATTTAAAAAAGGTAACCCAATTAGTGCAAGCACTATTCTTCCCCGGGGCCTTCTGTAGACAAAAATCAATATAAGTACAAACCAGTAAAGCTACAGTCTTGACAGATACTACTGGTTATAACAACTTCAGTTTATATTTGTTCAGGCATACTTGACCAGGATGGAGTAGACAATCAAATATTAAGCAAAGAGTCAGGAGTACAATTGGTGAGTATTAATGACTTAAGGGATCAGGCTTGATTCATTGTAAATGAATGCTTCATTCCTTTTAGAAATTTGAGCTTCAAATTACCATATTACTGTGTTGGTCAGCCTAGTATGATTAATGGTGGCCAGATAGCTTAGTTTGTAATGCTCCAGACTAGTGATTCAGGGGGGCATGGTTTGAATCTTGGTCTGGCTCATCTATTTTTTTTTTTCAAAATAATGGATTTCATTACTACTCTACGGTTTTTCTCAAATGAAAACAATTCTTTATATTTTTACCATTTTAATGCTCTGCCATGAATATTGGGCATATTGTGTAATTTGTGTTTGTTATGTTTCTTCTATCCTTCTGTCCTTCCATTCTTCTGTCCTTCCATCACAGTTTGCATTATGCACATTAATTTTCATGAAATTTTATTTAAGCATGTTTTGAATGAGTAAACACTTTGCATAATGATTTTCAAAAGAGTAGCAAGAAGGAAATATGATGTGTATGCCAAAAAAGGCTAGGGGTCTAGGGCTGCCTAAAGGGCCCCAATAGTTTCAGGGAAAAGCACTTAGGGGCTCAGGGGTCCATGCCCCAAAAAGCTTCTATGTTGTGTGGTTTTTTTTTCTGGGAACAAAAAACACTTAGCTCGAGTTAACAAGCCCTTTTTTTGCTCTGCCATGGATATGGCAGGGGCATATAGAGTTTGTCGTCCGTCTTCTACCATTCCATTTAGCTGTCCTTCCATTGTGCTTTGCTAAACACTCAATATTTTTTTACCTAGATCTTTCCTTTGACCTTGACCCCACTTTTCTTAAATTATATTTTGCTAAGCTTTAAAGAAACCATTCAAGAGAGTATAATCAAACTTCATATGCTGAAAGATACTGATGTAAGCTATTCAACTGGATCAACATTTTTTGACCTTGACCTCATTTTTCTTGAATAAGTGCTTAGCTCAGTTTTAAACAAACAGGGTTGTTTTAATTGGTTTTTAGCTCACTTGACCCTTCGGGTCAAGTGAGCTTTTCTGATCAAAGAGTGTCCATCTGTCATCTGTAAACTTTTCACATTTTTGACTTCTCAAGAACCACTGGGCCACAACAGTGGATCGAGGATTACGTATGAATATATAGGTGTAATGGTTACAGTAAGGGGCATTGGAGTAAAATGCGTTGAAGACTTCAGATAGTGGAATGACCTGACAACCCTTGGAATGGACTAGCCTAAGGGTATGTAATGCAAAGCTTTGGTAAAGTCAGGCATTCAGAAGGTAGCTTAAGAAACGGGATGACAACCCTTGGAATGGACTAACCTAAGGGTATATAATGCAAAGCTTTGGTAAAGTCAGGTATTCAGAAGGTAGCTTAAGAAGTTGGATGTTAAATCAGCAATAAAGAAGTTAAGGTATTCCATAATAATAGCAAAAGATTCAATGAAATTGAATACATTACAGATGTGTGGGTGTTGAATAGTCAGTATATTTAGACATAATTCCCATTTATTACTATTAGCATGTAAGGGTGGGGTGTGTCCTAATTTATGACCTTGAATAGAAACACGGTGCAAGGAGTACCTTACCCAGTCCCCATCTCTAGATAAGAGAAAATTTAAGTACTATGTGATATACCCTCAGACAGAGCTACAGTCTTAATAATCATCCCAATCATTAACTCAGAGTAAAAGGAAAACCTATATATCCCTTGTTAGAATCTGATCATACATGTTACAGTGTACATAGGAAATATCTTTTAAATCTTCTCAAGAACAACTAAGCCATTATTAGTCAACTCATATGTATACAGAAGCAACCTTAGGTATTGTAGAATCAAGTTTGTTCAAATCATGATCCCCCAGGGGTTGGGGCACAACAGAGGGTCAAAGTTTTGCATAAGAATATACAGGAATCATCTTGAAAAATCTGCTCAAGAACAGCAAAGCCATGATTAGTCATATTATTATAGAAGCATCCTCAGGTATTGTAGATTCAAAGGACAAGATAGGCTAAGACCCCTTTTTGGCCCCTGGTTTGGGGCGTCTTTTAGAATGATGCAACAGTTTATCAATAAAAACCTGTTGTCACCCCTGTCAGAAAATGAGTATTGGTTCTAAGTTATGGGATACACAGAGGTCACGGGAAGGTCAGAAAATATGTCAATTTACGAATTTTCTCATTTTTATGCAAATTTCCATGGATTTTGCAACACATTTTGTTTCAGAAAACATAGAGCACAATCTTGCCTATCTACCAAATTTATATATTTCATACACTAGTATCAGATGCATCTTGTGTATAAAAATCTCAGATAGGCAAGCTTGTGCTCTATGTTTCCCGAAGTGAAGAGTATCTCAAATTTGACAAAATTCCACCAGAATTGAGGAAATTCGGGAAAATGTCCTACTTCTGCACCCTCCTGTGGTCTCCGTGTAAGCTTTGAATCAAAATTAGTGCTGGTTTTAAAACAAGCATCATTTTAAGTTCTTAACTACAAACTATCACAGTTCTAACTGGGTTCTGATTTTTACATCAAATAAGGGGCCAAATTTGGCCATTACCATACCTTGTCCTTTGTTTAAGTTTACCATGGGTAGGTAGGGGCCACAATGACCAATCAGAGTTTTACATAGGAATACATGGGAAAAAAATCTTTAAAATTCTTCTGTTTAAGAACAGCAAAGCCATGGTTAGTAATATTGATATTGGAGCATCCTGAGGTAGTGTAAATTTAAGTTTGCCCCTCCCCCCCTTAAAAGATTTCAATATACTGAACTGATTTCTGCTTCTTCCTAGCCAGTGTGCTCAGGTGAGTGATGTGGCCCATGGGCCTCTTGTTTATTTTGGTGAATGCTGTTGCCATGGTTACTTAAATTAGAAAGAGCAAGAGCCACGAACCATCAAAAATGGCCCTGTGTCAAAAATTAACAGGTTTTTGTCAATTAATAGTGAAGACCTTTAGCTTTGCTTTGCCGTTTCTTTTTTCGATATCGATTATATTTTTTGAAAAAGAGAGTTTGAAGTATGGTGGTGTTTAAAAAAAAAAAAATGCTAGTAGAACGTCATTTTCTGTAACGTAACGTCGTAGGGCGGAAAAATTTCCTTGATCGATTTTGCATGTATGAATATGTGACTTTGAATTAAAACTAGTATTAATAATATAAAAAAACATCATAATTAATTTAAGACGATTAAAAGCATTTGGAACTTGATTTAACTTGACGTCTATATGGTAACCTCGTGTTTACCTGATTGAATTATATAGATACATGAAGTAAAAACTAGAGGTACTGTGAGCACTGAGCTCACAAAATGATACCCCGCCTATCATATATCTATAATGGCAAAGTCCATGTTTTGCTATGGGAGACCCGAAATATGTGTCTGATCAAAAGTGAAATAGGAGGTCACAATGGCACAATGTAAAAAGATTCTGTGAAAGTATCATTAAATTTTTAATTTATTCAGGCGTATAAGAGGAGTTGCGGATAAGAGATGGGTACCCTAAATATTATTTAAAGAATGGCAGTGTCTATGTTTTGCTATTGTAAACCTGAAATATGTGTCCGATCAAAAAGTGAAATGGGAGGTGCATAATGGAACTATCTACAAAGATTCTGCGAAAGTATCATTAAATTTTATTGAGTGGTATAGGAGGAGTTGCGGATAAGAGATGTGTACCCCAAAGTGTAATGGACGGACGCACAGACGGACGGAAAGGACACCCCCATCACTATATACCCCAACTTTTCAAGCGGGAGTATAATAATCTGTGTGACTGTCTTGGAATATTTTCATTCTACCTGGTCCCTATGATAATATTAAAAAAAGGAACATTCTATTTATATCCCTTCAACACATTTTTGAGCGATGCTTCGCTCCTAGTGAAGTATTGTGTATAGATCATCATAAGCAATGTACGACATGCTTCAAATACCGATAGTCTGACCAACTAAGTTTTCCGGATTTTCCCCTACAGGCCAGCAGATATTAAGCTGATCTTTGGCATGTGCGTCCAGGCACGTAGTATCGTTTTTCAAAGTTGGGAAGTGGGCAGTCGGAAAAAAAAGTAATTGACAACATACCTGAAATGATCTTGAAACGAATGTTTCTGAACTGAAGAGCTAATTCTATAACTACAGTGTAGGTAAAAGTTTAATTGCAAAAAGGTTTTGTTTAAATTGAAAGAGACTTTCAATGCAAAATTCTTAGATCCTGATATTGCGAGTATTTTAACGTATAAAAGATCTAAATTATTTGGACAAGAGGAAGAAGGAAAAAGTTGGAAGGACTTGTTTCTAATCCATTTATTCATTTGTAACAATAATTTGAATGTTGTTTTCGATACAGAAACAGGGAAAATTTTAGATTAATTGGAAAGGGATTTCGCAATTTATCAGAATGGTTTAATTAGTAAACAGAACTCATCAAAACATTCTAGCCCTAAATGTAAGTTTCTTTGGATTAATATGGAAAACAGTAGAGTACACTTCAAAAAATATTCTTAAGAAAAATAAATTCGTTAAAAAATCACTCGTCACTGTCCATTATTATATATTTAACAGTATTTGCTAGAACCCCCGACCCCCATTTTTTTGCAAAATATTCGAATTTTTTTTCTCCAAATACCTTTATATCTGCAGGGATTTTGTAAAGGTAGAGTCTGCGAAAATTCTATGATTATTTTCCATGTAAATGTATCAAAAGATTAAGCATGAGGAATTTTTCGTTATTATCACACGTTACCATTGTGTAAAATCCACACTTTCGATTTCATTTGCACATTATGGTTTTTATGGTTTATAAAAAGAGTAGAGCTACACTGATATTGCTGATATGTGGGTCACTATCATAATTGAAATACATGTACAGGTGTTCATTTATCCTTGTTTTATTGTCTCACAATTAGCACAAGATTGATTTTAATCAACAAAAGCTTGCTTAAAAATATTTTAGTCGGAGAAGCAATAAGAGTTGTCCGTACATATTTTTTTTTCAATTTTCTTTATGATTTTTTTT